ACTCAGTGAGACCCTGTCTCTAAATAAAATACAAAATAGGGCTGGGAATGTGACTTAGTGCCCCTGAGTTCAATTCTCGATACCCCCCCCAAAAATAATAATAACCAATTCCCCAGGCAAATAGCAAAACTGATATTCAGATGGCCTATACTTATCTTATGGTTCCCCATGTTTTCCTGACTCCCCTAAGATGCCTCCTTAAGTATGGGGTAATGTTATGGTTCCTTTACTTATCTTCCCAAAAACCAAGTGTAGGTCATGATTTATGAAAAAATCCAAAATAAAAAATGGAAGGAAATTAGAAATAATAAGAAGGGGACTTGTCCCCAATATAAAAGCTACATAAAAATTCACACTCGTATGCCTAATGACTATAGATTTCATTCATACCACCACCAGCCTCATTTCTGGAGAGCTTCTAGCTAATACTATTATGAATATTCCCCACTTATGATGGGGTAGTGTCCTAAAAAAACCATCATTTATTGAAAATATGATAAGTTGGAAATGCATTGAATACCTTTAACCTAACCTAATGTCATGGCTTAGCCACACAGTCTACTGTAAAGGATCATCAGGATTGTTAGCCTCACAAATGTGTAGCTGACTAGGAGATATGACCAGCCACCACTGCCCAGCATCACAAGAGAGGATTGTGGGAACCCAGGAAAAAATCAAAATTCAAAAAAGTATGGTTTCTGTTGAATGCGTATTGCTTTTGCATCATCATGAAGTTGAAAATTTTTAAGCTGAACAATCATAAGTCAGGGATAGTATTTCTGTAGTCCCTGAAGAAGGAAAAGTTACCTTCAGTTCTTTTCTTTCTTGGCATCTTTTCATACAGAAAAACTAGATAGAGATATATTTGCATACACATGAAAATACATTCAATATAGCATTCTTCGGAATAGAGAAAAAAAACTGTAGATTTAAATGCTTATCAATAAAGCCCGGGAAAAGTAAATGACAGCACATCAAGACAATGGCATAGCACGCAAGATAGCATGTAGTTATTGAATAAAAGTAGATCATTGCTACATGTTCATGCATTGCAAGAGCTCTTGGATATGTGGTTAAAACAAGAGGGCAAAGTATGGACCAGGTATACTTCCTATTGAATAGAAAAGTGCGGGGGGTGTTATTATATATGTATAGAAGGTCTCTGTGAAGATACAATAGTGGTAATCTCTGGAGAAGGCTAGGGGTTACAAAAGGGAGATTTGCTTTTATTAGATACATTCTTATATTGCTTAATTTTTTCACCATGCATATTAAATTTTCAAAAAAACAAATCATAGGATGGGGAATGTAGCTCAGTGGTGGGGCACTTGACTAGCATACACAAGGCCCTGGATTCAATCCCCAGCACCACACATATACAAAAATTGCATGTATTTCTATACACAAAACAAAAGCCATGTGGAGGAAGTACAAAGAGGAAAGGCGAAGCCTTGCTCAGTCCACCACCCAACTCGCTGCTTCCTGTGCTCATGACCCAGCAGACTCTGGTTTCTGTGATTTCCTAATCTGAATATCTCTTCACTGTTTTTAGAGAGGAGGAACTTCAAAAACTGGAGATGATGCATAAAAGAGTCCCTATATAAAAAACACAGATCCTCTTTCTCTACATTCATTACAACTTTATCTTCATGACTGCATTTTAACAAAGGTGTATCTGACAGCTTCTATTTCCTTGTCCGTACATACTTACGAGGTCATTTTTACTTACCTTCCCCATATGCAGGATGGCACACACTGCAAAGACTGAGGTCAGAGACTAAGGTTTGTGAAGGACTTTCCTTCCACATTGAGCCAATTGCCAATGCATTCTTGACAATAAACTGCAGGGAAAGAATCTGTTCATGCCTGGCCCAGGTGGCCAATTACTTGGTGAGGAGATCTAAGGGCATAATGCTCATTATGAGTCCCACAACAATTGGGAAAGCATTCTCAGTGTTTAGAGAACCCTTTAAATGAAATTAGACCAGTGTTTGAGCCAATCCATACCAAGGAGCCAAGAGGAATAAAGGAGTGAATGTTTTATTCTTTAGTGTTTAATAGAATACATGATGAGTTTAATAATCAATGATTCATTACTTCACACACAGGGAGGAAAACAGTATTGAGTATTTCTGTTATACAACTGGTTGTGAACAGGGAAAACAAAAACCTCTACTATATTTAGATGGTGGAAGAAATTCTCCAAGTTTGGGCATCTCTGAAAAGACTTCATTAGTGTGTGTTTTTGTTGTTGTTGTTTTAATACAGATGTTTTTTTTCCTTGACTTTATGTTTCATTAGAAAAGTCTGATAATCTTATATTTTTTCTTCTTCCCTTATATTCTGAGATAATATAGTTCAAATGATATATACCACTTAGCATATAATATTTTTAACAGTTTTGGAATGCTGGATAGCTCTGTGAGGGTCTTCCATTATTTGACAAATGAGCTTTTTCAGATGCCCGGAAAAATGTCAACAACATATAGTTTACATTTTTTAAATTTACCCCCATACTGAATGTTTAAACCTTTTATCATTAAATGATTACTAATGGAGGTAATGAATGGATTTTCCTCATTTGTATTCAATAATAGCAAAATTTACCTGCCTATAAAGTCACAAAGATAGTTGTGTAATAGTTTACATTACAATTAATGTCCATATACTTTAAAACACATTTAGAATAAAAAAAAACTGTCATGGAAAAAAAATCACAAAGCATGTAAGTGACAAGAGTTCTTCAAATAGTCCATCTTTCTACCACATGAGATTATACACCAATGTAGAGAGTTTGTTTGAATTTTATCTATCTAAGTTTTAAGGGCCCCAGCAGAGAATCTAAATCCTCAAGTATTAATACATTTAGATTTTTATTGTCAAAAACTTGACAAAGAAAAGTTAACTTCAACATAACTTGTTTCAGGCTATAAGAAAACCTATTTCAGGTACTACAGATATTGGAAATAAGAATACTATATTTTATTCATTTCTCAAGAGACAGACTTGCATCATCTAAAAAAGATTGAGGTTTTAAATGATTTACAGTAAGGAAAAACACTGGGAAAATTCTAAAGTATTGTCTCTGCTAGATTTACAATAAAAAGATTATTTAGTATTTTAAAAACTTAAGTCAATTGTGTCAAGTATGTGATTAGACTATAAAAAGAAATTCTTAAGGAATTCAACCCCACCAGTCAATACATTTCTAAATGTCTGCTTTGTAATTCACCCTTTTCATATAGGAGTATAAAAACAATTTGAATATTAAATGGGAATTTACCATAATCGGAGAGTAAAAAAATTATCAAAGCTTCACCTTACATGGCTTTAATGTAATAACAACATTCCATGGAAAATTCCAATAAAAATTAGAGTACATCATGGGCACTGCGGTTGCCCATGGGTCTGAGTATTCGCACACTATGCGAGAAGCAGCAGACCCTATATGTATATAGGGGTCTGGTTTGAAAGAGAAGATAATTTTGGCTAGTATTATAAATTACCACTTTGCTATCAGCCCAAAAAAACCAAATAAGAAACACAAGAATAAAAATAGTATTGAAATGGAAAAAATTTAAGTCTCACACCTTCAAGGAATATTTTCCACAACATATCCTTTGAAAAATGATGTTAGAATGAATATGGCTCATAGTCTACATGTATATAAAAAACAGATAGGTCAAACAGTTGGTGCAAAAACAAGGAACCTGGTACCTGTTTTTTAACCCCCATTGTCATCAATTCCTCTTTTAAAAAATGTATATAAAAAAACAGATATGTCAAACACTTGGTGCAAAAATGTTTTTTCAGTTATATTTATGAACACCAAGCAGTGACAGAGCAACATATGAAAATGCATGCCTCTGTGAGTCAGATTAATGCAGTCTTCACTCTCTGAATAGTTTACGACATTCCCAGGTTATTGAAATCATGTCTTTGGAGGGTTTATTCAGATGGACCCTCAATACCCTGTTCAAGCTCGTAAGTGTTGACCAACATTCCAGAACACTTCGTAGACCTAAAAGCTCTTTCTATAGCCTAATGCACATGGAGAGAAAGGGATCCAAAGGTGCTCATGCCCACTCATCTTACCTCAGTTATACCATCTACCCAACAGAATGAAGTCAACCTCAGAGGACACAGTCATTGCTAGAAAAAGAGGTTGGTTTACTGTCCCTAACATTAAATTCCCAGTCTTTAACATAATGCAGGGGATACAGGGCAGCAAAGGGAAGTGGGTAATAAAAAAAAATACCTATATGTAAGAGAGTGGAATAGTTCAGCTCAAAGTTTTAGAACATAAAATTCATTAAGACTTTAATGGCAGAGACAAAACTTCAGTAGTTTCTCATGACTCTTGGAGTTGTGCAGATTTGATGAGGGAAACCAGAATTGACAAGTCTTTCCATCTGTCAGTGTTTATGATCTGTCCTAAAGATGTTCTCAATCATGTGTTTTTTTGTTGAGCAATCTAACAGAATAACATAGGAGTGGAGAAATTTCTGTGACAATCACTTGTGGCCAGTGAGTGACAGTCCTAAATCATTTCAGGCTTGAAACAAAGACAAGTTCTGATGTATAACCTAGTCTGAGAACAAACTCAACATATATGCAAACAGAAGTTCCTGGATTCTTCTTCTATTCCTCTTAAAATGACAGTCTTTGCATATACAGCTAAACTTTTTTAAACTAATAAAAGAAAATAAGTCTTTCTTGTTCCTAATTAAAATGAAAGAATTCGTGGATTAAAAATGCAGGTACCTTGATTTTAGGTAGACAGTTAACTGACGTGTGATTTGTATACAACTAATGTCCTAGCAAAGCAAACTCAGTTTCACAATTATGTATTATTTTCCTAACCCAAGTTCCTCATAGACAAGGATATAAGAAACTCATCAAAACATGTTGCTATAGTATATACACCATCTGATGCAAGTTACTGGGGGTAAATATAGGAAATTTTATAGCATTAGTAAATGAATTAAAAAACTAAATGATTCATGTAAAATGTTTATATATGGTATATACAGATTGGATCACATATGAGTCTAATAAGAAAATTGTTTGAACATATAACATCGGTCATGGACATAGCAAGACAGTACAAGATTCATTTTTTTAAAAGAAGGAAAAATAACACTAATTTAAACACCGAAAACTACTCTTAGAAAATTATTTAAAACATATTTCAGAGAAAAATGCTGAAACAAACAAAAACACAGACTTCTCCATCATCACAGAATAACCAAAGGATGCCTCACAGCATGAAGCATGATGAGGATCTGTTTCCTGTACACAGGATACACACTGGGAATTGATTTCATGTGAGAGTAAAGGCATAAGGCAACCAGGTCTCCTGTTTCTGTTGTATTTACCTAAAACACCATTTTATTGCTCAACTCATTTTTAAGTACTTATCTGCCTTCATTTAAGATATCCCATTTCACAGCTATCAACAGATGGGCAGCCCTCAGTGCTTATACTTCTCTACAGCTCTGTTGCTTGAAAAGATTCCACTTTAACTTCAAACAGACTGCATGAAAGAAGTGACATTTTTCTGCTTTTCAGGTATGCCCAGCAGTAAATATTTGCTAGGCTTGGAAAAGAAGAGGATTTTTAATAAAAGATCTTAAGTCAAAGTAACCAAAATCAAACCTATTTTGCTCAATACATTTTAAAGACAAGATTTATAATCAACAAGAAAATAAAAGTTCAAAAACTAAAACCCTACTGGGTAACTCTTTGGTTAAGTTCTATACTTATTAGCAACTTTAAGTTTAGGACTCAAAACAGTTCAATAAACTGCTAGTTAAGAGTAGATCTGTTACTAATCTTGATAAATTGCTTTGCAAGTTTGCATTTATTGTTTGATATTTTTAAGTGTGTATGTTCTCAAACAGACGGTACAAACTTCCAACTTCCAAATAATAAATGAGTTATGTCTGCTCCTCCCTTCCCACCCTTCCTTTCCTACCTCCCTCCCTTCCCCACCCCCTAAATCTTAGATCTAATGATTGTACAGTCCTACTGCTCATGACGTGCACTCCTGCCCAGCTCCATTTGTCACTGCCAGATGATTCCCGCTGCACTTGGAGACCTGGGCAGCCTTGCCTCTTCTGAGGCAGCGCCCTTTTTCCCTCTTGCCTAGAACTGCCGAATCAGCCAATGGAACAAGGGCTCTGGCAACATGCAGAGGAGAAAGGGCGCCCCCCGTAGGCAGGAGGATCACTTTCTACAAGTTCAAGCTACAGGCTTAAGATCTTCTACTATGTGTTGAAAAGATCTGGTCCATCACCGTGCCAGCACTAGTCTTCTACTTCTACCTGTAACTTTTCAAAACTTATTCAAATTTACAGTCACCGAATTGCCTCCACGGGGTCTTAATTCAGTTATCAGTTTTCCACAACTCTACCTTTAAGAGGGCCAAAGACTGTAATGACCTTTTAAAACAGTATCCCAACAGTTCTGATATCTTAAACCCGGAGTGAGTCAAAAGAGTTTGAGAAGATTCCAGTGAATCTTCTACACACTGAACACCGTCCAATCAGGTTTTGAACAATTCAATCATTCCCAGGTACTCGGTGACTTTGTGGCGCCCGCCGTGGGTGCCACTAGATCCAGATTGAAGTACAATCTGGGGGAAGGGTAGTTTGAGACCCGGAGTAGAGGAAACATGGGTTGGGGGTTACATCTGAGCGCTCTTGGTTAGAGAGGTTCAAAGAAGATGAAGAAGCCCAGAGGATTTGTGGCTGCTGATTCTTAAGTGGGGGTCTAACAGGTCTGGCCGAGCTACTGGAGGGAGCGGAAGGAACCAGGGGATTGAAGACATGTGTCAGGAGGATCTATAATCATCTCCCCCGCGTGGAGAAGGGAAAGTGGGTGCTGGAGTCGCGAGGGGTCTGGGGAGCTCACTCCCTGCAGAAGACGTACTCGGTGTAGCTGGTCCAGATCTTGTCCTCGCTCTGGTCGGTGCTGCTGGCAAAGGCGCAGGTGCCTGTGGAGCTGCACGCCACCATGTGGAAGCCCGACTCGGACAGCTTATCGAAGGCCTGCTCCAGGAAGTTGAACTTGAGGTAATAGCGTGAAGTGTAGCGCTCTGGGGGCCGGTCGGGGTCCCGGCTCTCGTTCAGGGTGTCCCCGAACACCTCCTTGGCCAACGACGTCTTGCCGCACACAGTGATGCGCGCCACTCGCCGGAACTTGGCGTCTGCTTGTGCGTCCCGCCCGATGGTGTAGGAGCCACGGTAGCCGATAGTGATGTAGCCAGAACGCCGACTGCCGTCCAACGACTGGGACGGAGTGAGCAGCGGGCCCACCGCACCCCCGGACGGGCTGCGGCTAGCCAGCTCCAGCGTGGGCGACGGTGCCCCGGCCGAGGCGCCCTCCTGCTGCTCGGGCTCCACGCAGCCCAGCGGCAGCAACTCGTCGCCCAGCGAGCCCTCCTTGTGCACCCCGCGCCGGGAATGCGGCGGCGGCGGCCCGGGGCCAGGCTGCTGGGGCGCCCCGAGGCGACGCACGAGCTCTGGCAGCTCGAAGTACTCGGCCTCGCGCTGAAGCCGGCTGCGCTCGGGGAAGTAGTCGGGCAGCACAAGCTGCAAGTCCCGAAGGTAATCCAGGATGTAGCGGAAGAGGAAGCCGTCCCGGTCCAGAAAGAAGCGGCCTTTGCTGTCCCGGGCCAGCTCCTGCGGCTGCTGCTGCGTGAACATACGCCAGAGCAGCGAGTCTGGCACCGACACCACAGTACAGCGCCGGGTCACATACACCTGGCCCCCCACGTTCAGCTCCACGATATCGGGGAAGAGCGGCGGCTCCGCAGAGGACGACGAGGAGCCGCTGCCGCCCCCGCCGCCGCCCCCGTTGGGTAATCCTCGTGTGCTGTCCGCCAGAGCCATGGCAAAGAGGTGGCCGGACTGGGGCCGCGCTCAGGAGCCGCAGCCGCCTTTCTCAGAGCCCCGGAACCGGGACGCTTGCTCAGCCCAGCGCCCTGGCCGATGCCACTAGGAAGAGCAGCGCGGTGCGAGCGCGCCGCTGTGCGCCCCCGTGAGCTCCGGTGCGCAGCACCGCCTCGCCCGCGCGCTCCAGGCGAGTGCCGGGTCGCGGCCCGCGCGCCGCTTAAATAGAGCCGCGGGCTGGGGCGCCGCGGCGCGCAGGAGGCGTGGGCGGCTGCGGAGCGGCGGAGCCTCGCTTGGGCGGGGGAGGGGAGAATAGGGAATCGATCTGCATCTTAAACGCTGACGCCGTGCGGGGCTGCTGGCTCCACCCCTGCTCGCGCTCCGGGGGCGACCCAACTCCCATCCGGCGGACCGCGCTCCGGCCCCTTCCCTCTCCCGCCCAACTTTCTCCCTCTTTCGAATGGATGGGGCTGAGCTGGGACTGGCCGTTGTTCTTTGGAGGGGCAGTCGCTGGGCCCCCTCCCCTGTTAACCTCACCCACACCCGGGGACTCTGGAAGGAGGAAGTAAACTTTTGGGCGTCTTCCACTCGGAAGAATGGAAATGTGTGACCGCCGCCAGTCCCGCGGTCTCCGGAACTGGCCGCTGCAAACAGTTCAGCTGTGCTGCCACAGTCGCTGGAAGTTCTCGAGAAAAACAAAAAACCTGGAGAGACAGAGAGGCCGCCCCAACCTGGAACAAGCAGATTTTGTTCACGTTAATGCCCTATAGCTTCGAAAAATCCCTAGAAACAAAGAGCTAATAACCTCAGTATCCTGTCGTAGGACGCTCTCAGATAGTTTTTCTCAGTACATAAGTTACTCATTTGTCGGAAGACCTCAGGATTGGAGGCAATAAGCTGAAATTGCAATGGAGGGAACTTGGATGGGTAAAAGGTGTCACACACGTGTCCCCAAGAGGAGGACTGGAAACAGCCTCCGCCTTGTAGCACCTTCGTGGCCAGACTGAAGGAACAGAGAATAGTAAGGCCACGGGTTCTCTTCAGTCATCGGTGAATTGTGCCAGAACACTCAGAGGGAACGTAATTTTTAAAACCACCTTTCAGTGCCTGTGTATTTATCTTCTCAGTGGCCCAGATGCCCTTGCTCTTCCGCTTGCTTCCATCTTTCTGTTAAGTCCTTTCCAGGTTCCTTCCCATCTCAGGGAGGGATATTTGTATGTTTAAAAGCCCTTTTGTACATCTTGCCCGATTTTCTCCTGCTCCCTGCACATTCAAATTCACTAATTGTAGCCCGCTACCCACGTCCTGCCTTTGTGCTCAGCACATTGAAATTTCGTATTTATGAGTGATTAGCTGATCCTGACTTTGGTAAATAAATAAATGCATCAGCGATTCAAGAAGAGTGAATAAAAGAGAATATTGAGAAATCATTGGGTCAATTAATATTTGCTGCGCACCTTCTATTTCCTGGATGCCAGGTAGTGAAGAATGCAAGGTTTGATGATCTCCAAGGCGCTTTGAATATAGTACAATATGCAAAGGGTCAGAGATCTGTGTGGGTTTTCAGGTCAGTTTGAAGTACAGGCCATCAATCAGGATAAATCTGGCAAGAATCTTTGTTCTGGATAATAATGTTTACCCTTTTGTGTAACTACCCAGTAAGCTTCATAGTCTCCTCACGGATAAGTGTCATTTCCATTTTGAAATGTTTATGTCTGCTCAACAATTATCACACTCATGTCAGTGCTCTGAAAAAAGATCAAGCCCCAAACCAGCTTGCTTAATTGCAAGTACAGATTTTGATACTGAATATATTTCACCACTCTTTGAACTGTTCTTTGGCATAAATAATAGATGATCCAAAAGTTCCAAGTTCCAATGCTGCATTTATGGGTGGTTGTGCTGTTATGTATTATATAATTTGTCACACAATTGAAGAGCTTAGTCTCCTATAAATCCAAGGAAAACCTTCTTTGTATCAATTCTGCACATCTGTTTTAATGGATATTTTATTCATCATGTCAGCAAATCCTGTCAGCTCTACCTGCTAGATCCTTCCAGACTATTCAGTTTCACCATCTCCTGGGCACCACCCTGGACCAAGGCACCATTGCCTCTTGTTTTGTCTCCTAACTGCTTCCACCCTTGTTCCCTTAGTCTTCTATCACCAGAACAAAATTAGGGATCTTGTTATAACCTATGTCCAGTATGTCTCTCTACTCAGAGTCACACAGTGGTTTCACATCTCACATAAGAGCAAGTCCTTTCAGTGGCCTACAAGACTCTGTATGATTGGAGCTGTCACACTCATTCCTCTCTGAGGATCTCCAAGGAGATCACTAGCTTTAACCACAAAGCCCCCTTCCTGTTTTCTCGGAGCCTTTTCCTTTGCCTAAAAGATTCATTCCCTCCTCCTACATGCCTTCCTGTCCAGAGTCAGCTGACTCCCTTTTCACTGTCTCCTTTCTTGATTACCCAATTTAGTACAATGCAGTCACACTATAGAAGCTTCCTTTTCCCTGCCTTACTTGTTGATTGTCTGTTACATTAGAATGTAAAGAGTTCAGAGATTTTTGTCTGTCTCATTCATTGCTACTTCCCCAATATCTAGAATAGAGCTTGCATACTATAGGCATTTAATAAATATCTGTTGTTCATTTATTCATTCCACCAATGTTATTCATGGCCTATATATTAATCAACATTCTGTTGCTGTGACAAAATGCCTGAGAAAATCAACTTAAAGGAGGAAAATTTTATCTTGGCTCATGGTTTCAGAGGTTTCAGTCCACAGTCATTGGCTCTGTTGTTTCTGGGCCTGTGGTGAGGCAGGACTTGGTGGAGAGTGTGTGTGGTGATGCAAAGCTGCTTCGGCCAGGAAGCAAAGAGGATAGAGAGAAAAATAGATCAGGGGAAAATATACCCTTCTAGGCATGTCCCCAGTGACTTACTTCCATTAACTAGGGTCCCACCTTTTAAAGGTTCCTCTACCTCCCAATAACCCATTAAGTTATGAATTCATCAATGAATGAATCCATTGACAAGGTTTGAACCCTCATGAGCCAATCACCTCCAAAAGCCCCACCTCTTAACACTGCTGCATTGGGGACCAAGCCTTTAACACCTGAGTGTTGGGGGAACATTTTAGATTCAGATCAAAACAGCCTACTATTGTGTTTCAAGAGTGTGTTAAAAAATAATTACTACCCTCTTAGAGCTAACAGTCTAATTGCAGCCAGCAACTCACATCCTGCCTTTGCACCTTTGGAAACATATAATATATATACACTCATACACACATATATGTAAGTGTATTTCAGATAGAGATAAGTGTCATGAAGAAAACATCATAATGAAATGAGATGGGTGTGTGTGTGGGGATTCTGCCAGAGGGCCTATGGAAGGGCTCTCCATAAAAGTGACATTTGTGCTGAATGATAAGAAAGAGACAGCCATGGGACATTCTGAAGGAAGAGCATTCCAGGTAGAAGCCAAACAAGTCAAAAGGGCCTGGGTCAGGAAGGAGTTCAGTATGTCTTACATCAGCGTATGGATTGCATAAATTGCTTTGTCCTGGGAACCTCCAAGTTACCTTGAAGTCATGATTTGATGCAGACTCAGATGTGAGAGGTACTGTGTGCTGATATGCAAGCAGCACACCCAGTATTCATCCACCCCAAGAAAGTCTACTGCAGAAAAGCTGTTGGTACTTCCTTGTGAAGCCAGGTTGTGCATGAGATGCAATAATGAAAGAAACTGTGGTTTGAAACGAAGAGTAAATTTCTGATTAATTTTGTGTGTTCTGTTTTTTGTCTGTTGGTTAGTATCACAAAATTTGAGAGGAAATGTAACTGAGGAACTTTGATGCTGGCACGAGAGGGCCTGGGTGTTTATGGAGTGAGAAGTAAGTTATAATTCTTCAGCATGTCCAGTATGTTAAATATGCTTAATTGGAAGAGGGTCCAGGAGGATTAGAAAACCACTCACCCTATGCTTAGTCTCAACCCAGTTTCTTTTTCTTTTTTTAAAGATATACATGACAGCAGAGTGTATATCTTATTGTAATTAAGATGGAGTATAACTTATTGTAATTAAGATCCCATTCTTGTTTACCCCTGTTTCTAGTGCTGGATACATTGTTGATCATTGTTCCTGTTTAGGTGACTCTGTACTTTCCTAAGAATCAGCATGCCTTGCTAGTACTGCGTTCTTTGCTCCTGGGTGTAGGGTACTGGAAACATCCCTAGATCTAAATTCTTATCTAATTCCATCCTACCACCTGCTCTTCCAACCGACTTTTCCATGCCACCAAAGCACTTACTCAATGTTCTACACACCAAAGATCTGAGGAAAGGAATCGAGGAACACGAAGAGAAATATAAAGCTTAAAGGGGAGGAATACCTGGGGCAAAGTGAAGTGAGTGCCTCAGAGGGTTGAATGAATTTAATATATGTTAAAATGATCTGAAAGCTGTAAAACACCATTCAGTTGTCAGAATCATTATTTTCCACCACTTATCACGGTGCCTGACAAGTCTGCTCAATAAATGCTAGATGAATAAATGAATGACAGAAACGTTAAAACGAATGCTGTAGGGAAAGGGGAGGAGAGGTGGAATCAGAAATTGTCCTGAACAAATACTGACTGCATGTGTCATCCCCAGAATACACGTCCATCTTTTCTGTATGCAGGCTTTTAAAACCAATGGCTTTTTGCATTCAGAGAGAAAAACAAATTGGGTACAGAAATTAATTAAATAACAGTAAGTTTAAATTAGGAATCAAATGACTTAATAAGGATTTGGCAAAAGATAGACTAACATCTAATCTTAAATGAGAGGGAAAAAAAAGTTCTGTGAAGGACATTGCCAGATACTAGGAAATGAAAAATGTTCCAACATGGAATGATTATCCCCGCTGTATGATTTTTATACTTACTAGAATCAGAGGAACAAAATGTTGGAAACGTTTTCATTTTTATTTCTATTTCCTTAAAAACAATGTTTGAACCTTTTCCAGGAAACCAGTAACGATCTTCATAGCAAGTATTTATATAGCACTTACTGAATGCTATGTCTGTTTATAGAATTGTGCATGTACTAACTCATTTAGTCCTCACAGTAACTCTATCAAGTTGATACTATTATCAGGTTGATCCAATTTGAGGATGAGAAACTAAGGCACAGAGAAGTTAGCCAATTTCCCTGTTA